GTAGCAGTTCTTTCTAATTCAGTTCTCCTGTCAGAAACAGTGAGGACACACAACTATTCTACACAGGACACACAGTCGTCATGTTCATATCTGAGAAAACAGCTGGTTTTAAATTTTTGCTTCCCCACCTGACCCCATCAATTCCTGTTTGGTTTGTTTGAAACAAATAGAATGCACCATACATCTTCCCCGGGTTAAGAAAAAGGGAGCAAGTTTAAATTCTTCTTGTTTCATGGGCTGGAGGATATTACTCATTTCAGATCTTCCCTTAGCAAGAAGGAAGCAGCTAATGGCAACAAAGCCCCCAAATCAACTCCCTTCACCCATCCCATCAGTCACTCAGCATGGAAATCCTCCAAAGGAAAAAATGCGTTTTTATTGAGTGTTTTCTTTCCAGAGCTCCTTTAGGGGAGGGTGTACCTATTTTTTCTTCTAGTTTTCATGGAGAACGTGCTATATTTTCATGGCTCTGTGCTTTGTTCCTAACATATCTTGCTTATTCTGCCACCAAGCAGAAATGTCTACATTCCTGTTAAAGAAGTGCCCACAGTGGCAGACCTGCCCAACAAAGTTTCCAGGGCTTAGACCCTTACCTGTGAGCCACAGACCACCTCACTTACTTATCTAGCATCATGACTGACCCAGGCTCTTGGCTGTACTCTCTTTTCCAGTCTGGAATCCATAATCCTTAAGCTATCCAAGGGTCTGAGGTTCAGGAATGCTAAGTATGGGAGCTGGCCAATGCTTGGGTTTAGTCTTTCTGAATGAACATTCTAAACATGACCTCAGCCTTCCTACTCACACCTGTTTCCAGCATCTGGCTTTGATCTCTGACCCAGCCTAGCAGGTGCAGGGTAGACACACAGTGATTGCCTATTCAGCAGTCTCAAGTCTAGCTTTACCCCTCTTATCCACATTCCTTTAAGACAAATGTATTTCATTATAGACAAGCAAGGGTTCTTCTGAATTGGCCTAGAAAGACTGTCATTTAACATGCAGTGGATCTGGTTACCAAAAGCTTGCATTTGTGATTGACATTCACAGCAGCAGAGAGGAGATGAAGACCCAAGTGTGGGGACCTGCACACAAATTTCCTCACTGCATAAATGGCCTGGCAGAGTGGCTAATGTGTCCACAACAGTCATCCCTCAGGATAAGACATGGACATTTCTAGGCAAAAGGTTATCTTGCAGGAATGCACATCAAGCTGTTATCATCCAGTAATATATTACTTGTAATTCAGTTTATCAGATCAGTGACTATCACTTGGATAAGGCTAAGGGAAGGGGATGCAAGACAGATAAGTTTTAAGGGATCAAGATCATGAGTGATGTAGAGGATGACCATTTTCAAAAGGGCTGAGGCTGGCACCTCTTGGAGCCCTAGGAAGCTTATTGGCAGCCTGTGGGAACTGGTTACTGATCAAAACAACCTGGCAGAGCTCACTCTTACTTTTGGTTAGCTAAAATAATAATAATTATTATAATTAGTAGTTATATCCTAAATGTGGCTACCCAGACTTGTCGCAGAATGAATATCAGGAAAGCATCTGTTCAGTTCTGTTCAGTCAGTGTATCATGTGCTGTGAGCTCCATTTAGGTAAAAGGAGATGCTGGTGTCACATCAAGCCAAAGCAAGGGCATATTCACCAGTCTGTACCCAGTTATATCCCCTATGCTAAGTGCCCAGAGATACATCTGGCCTCAGCTGAACACTGAAGGCAGTTTCACACTTTGATTTTCAGGAATTGTGCCACAAGAAGCATGTTGGCTTTTTAAAAACTTCATCACATTTAGCATAAAAATCAAGCTAAATATTCCACTGAGCATTCTACTCCCTTTTCTTTGACACCTTCCTACTAAAAGCAAGCCTTCTGTTAAGAGCAACAAGCTGGTGTGCCCTTGGAGACTAAGATGGTAACATCAGTGAAGAAGCAGGTCAAGTAAAAGAAAACGTTGATAGAAGCATAAATACAAAATATAGTTTGCTTTCCTCTTAACTCTGCTCTGAGCATAGTGACTGTACAAACACAATGATAAATGACCATTGAAACCAGCCTTACATTAGAGAGGCAAAAGGCAGTGGTGAGTCCTGAGCAAAGCAGGAGAGAGAGAGAGCACACACAGTGCCAAGTGGCAGTGCTGCTTTGAGCTCCATGCAGGTTCTTTCTCAGCTGCTACATTTCCACTTTGTCAAGAGAACCTAAAAATCCAGATTTTAATGTGAAGTCTCCTGATTTTTAAAAAAATCAATTTTAGTAAAAAAAACATAAAAATTGCCTTCATAATAATTTCTAAACTACAGTTCAATGGTGTTGAGTATATTCACATGGTTGTACAACAAATGTCCAGAACTTTTTCATGCTGCAAAACTGAAACTCTACCTATTAAACAACTCTCCATCGCCCCCTACCCCCAGCCACTGACAACCAAGTTCTGCTTTGTTTCTGTTTTTTGACTCCTTTAGATACCTCATATCAATGGAATCATACAATATTTGTCTTTTTCTGATGGACTTATTTCACTTAGCATAATGTCCTCAAGGTTATCCATATTGTAGTATGTATCAGAATTCTCTTTGTTTTCAAGGCTGAATAATATTCTATTATATGTATATGACTCATTTTGTTTATCTGTTTGCCCAGTGATGGACACTTGAGTTGCTTCCACCCCTCCACCTCTTAACTACTGTGAATAGGGCTGCTATGAACACGGGTGTGCAAATATCTATATGAGCCCCCTGCTTTTATCTCTTTTGAGTATATACCCAAAAATGGAATTGCTGGATAACATGGTAATTCTGTTTAATTTTTGAGGAACCACCATACTACTTTCCACAGAAGCTATAGCATTTTCCATTCCCACCAACAGCAAAAGAGTTTTTCTCCATGTCCTTTCCCTTGATTTTAAAATGTTTTTCACCTAAAGAGATTATGGATAATGTCTGCTCTTGGCCCCCTTTCTTTTCTGAAAGATAGACTATCTGAAAGATAAGGTCCATATTGTTTGGAGGAAAATCTAATAACTGAGGATCTGACAGTGTGAAATAGCAAACCCAAATTGTTTAATACCAAATTTTGAACTCTGTAGGGCAATAACAGCTAAAACATTTGAAATGGAAGATAGATTTTAAGCTGAGTACAGAAAAGGACAAAAATATATTGAAATTCCAAAAGCAGTCCTAAATGGTTTGTTAGCAACCAATGGTCTAACCCTCTGTGGAAAATACTTTACTTAACTAGTGCCACCCTTTAAATATCTTAGAACAGCTGTATAGAAGTTTTGCTAGATTAGAAATTGCCTTCAAGGAAAAGAAGCTACAAAATGGACCTGATGGTCTGTTCCTCTAGGCAGAATTCACTATTCACTCATATAGAATGGTTAGAAAAAAGTACTTTATACGTCAATGATATGCCCACATTACTTGTTTTTGGTTTTTGGTTTTGGATTTGAGAGAGTAAGGTAACTACAGTGGGGAGGAGAAGAATTTGATGTGCATAAATAGGCACAGGATTCTGTCAAGATGATGTTCATTCTACCTCAACTTTAAGGACATTGAAGTAGCCAACCCATAACAACAGAATCCAATAGCAGCCTTTTTTTAAAAGTCCAATTGTACTTGATGTCAACTATTCCTTCATAGAAAAAATGTATATTTCAGTTTTATTATACTCTGGCTAATTGATTTTATCATATTATAGAGCAACATGGCTATGGGAGAGATAATCCCAAAGCCATAAGGACTCAGGATAATTTTACTGAACTTGAAACATTACCCCAAAACATATGTTTAGGGTAAAATCAGATAAAGTGCAGGACAAGCACTCATTTTTCACTGTAAAATATTTTGAGCAGCAACAAAACTACATACTTATCAACGTTCTGCTTTGCCTGCGCCAGATATTGTCCATTCATGTAGCAGCTTCATAAAATCACCTGGGGCGTCTATGTTGAATGCATGTGCCTCCCTCATTGGTTTGAAATTATGAATTCTAATCCAGTGGGATAATCTAAGTCATCAGAATATGTTAGTTTGTCATTGGTAGTTCTCTTAGGAAGACCTGTGTTTGTTGTGGTTGCTTTAAATATAAGGAGTCTGAGTTTATAAATCAACTGCATCTCAACAATATTCTTTATAACTGTCCCTCATTTCACCAAGTTACAGTTGAAACTCAAAATGACATAAATACAGGGTGTGGCAAAAGTAGGTTTATGGTTGTGAGTACATAAAACACAGTTTATTCTTGTATTATTATGTATTAATTATTGTATTATCTTCCATATGAAAAGTAAATCTACTTTTGCCCCACCCTGTAAATTTCATTTGTGCAATTAGATTGATCAATTACTTCAAAATTACAACTTGTATCTGTTCAGTATCTATAAAAGACAAATATCTTTTATAGAGGTATTTAGACAAAAGATAGATACCTCTCCAGAAACATTAATATTATTAAATTTTATGGCATAAAGAAAATAAGTCTTTTCATTCATGATTTGCTTAAAACTAAGCCTGTATTTTTGCAAAAATTATACTGTATATTCACATCCTAGTAGAAATTCTTACTTTAGCAGTGGAGATATTATAATTATAATAATGTCCTGTGATATCATATGATGTAGCAATGTCATTTAAAATAGGATTTTATTTATTCTGCAGACTTTCCTAAATCCAAATTCCTGTTAGTTCCAAGGCAACTTTTATTTTAGTAAATAATGTATAAGTGACCTTTTAAAAAATGTAGACTAGCCTGGACTCTTTCCTAAGAACTTCCCACTGCATGCATTACTGTTGCCCCTTTTTGGATCATGAGTGTGAATTACGTTCATGGCTCTTGACCATGGCCAAGATAACCTGAGCTTGCTTTCCATTCCTAATAATAATTATGTTCTGTATAATTATTATGATGATGATCCTTTCTTCTCAGTAGAAAAGTGGCTGGACCAGCCCCAAAAGGACTAGCCTCTTATTCCTCTGACTCAGACTTTCTTCTGTTGCAGATTGGATTTGAGGACCCTCCCCTCCAGGCACAGGCTGCAGTTTCAGGGAGTGGGAATGGAGCTGATTCTGAGCCAGCTCGCCATGTCTTCTCCTTTTCCTGGTTGAATTCCCTGAAAGAATGATGTTCATTCCAACTGCTGCCCCTCTGTCTGCCTGGCTGAGATGCACACAGGCAGGAGGGAAACTGGATGAAATTAATATGATGCAGATGATGAAAGGGACCTCTGAACAAGATTTCTTTTAAAAAGATCTTTAATTCCAGATGACTTCTCTAATACACTAACCGAAAACAGTTGCAGAAAGCATTGGAAAAAAGAAACTTGATCTTATATAAATCTTTTATTGTGTGGGAAATATTACAAAGGATGTGTAAGTGTGGTATGTGTGAGTGTGTGTCAGTAACAAGTGGCAAGTGTTGAAAAAAGGGCACTACACTCTCATCTCAGATAGGTACTGGCTTTTGTTATTGTACCATAGTAGCTCTTATTCTCTTTCCTTTTTAACAATGCAGGTGGTCAGTGAAATTCAGTATTAATTCAGAAGTGACTGATTTATCAATATGTGGACAAAAGGTAAATCATTGACCAAAGGTATGAAATGTTTCACAAAGGTTTTCTCTTTCCCCTTATATATATTGCTGGATGTATATCTAGAAATGTTCTTTGACTCTGAAGACACTTTCATAGTCCAGAAGGCTGAAGGCCTAGGATATTTCTTGTGACATTTTTCTAATCTTAGTTTTAGACATGCAGATATCAGTCACTTTAATTGAAAAAAAACTTTTCAACAGGAACCGTCTACTTTCTCATGTATCCACTGAGACACAACTGCATGTATTTAAATATATATACATACAATATAATATATATGTATATATATTTAAATGATGTTTTATTTGTCTCACTATAATGCCTCCTTCAGAATATAAGTATAACTTTACTCTGTATGAACTCTTAAATAAATGCTGTTTTTAACAACTTAGTCTTATAATGATTTATTCAGTGTTTCATATTATCTTATTAATCCATTAGTCAAGAGTATTTAAAAGGTCTGAATGGAAAAAGCACCTTCTATACATCCAAATTAATTTTGAAGTATTACACATTCATGAATTTTTAGTTATAACTAAACTACTAAAGGTGGATGCATTGTAAAATTAATTCAGTGTGTTATTGATTTTAGAAGTGAATAAAGATAGTTTATATTTCTAAGAATTAAAGTGATTAGGGTTGGCATTAACATAAATGAGGAGGGTATCTGTGGAATTACTAAAGTCAAAATATTCTTCATAAATTTTTTTCCTAAGTGCCATTTTATAGCAACTAAATTTAGTTGTTTTAAGTGGAGAGGCTATCAAGTTCTCCTATTAGAAGTAGGCATTGAAAAATACTTAGAAAAAGTATTTTATGAATAATGTATGAGAATTCCTCATAGAAAAAAATTCAGCATTTTGGCCTTAAGGTTTGGAGAAGTGCTCTTTCTCAATCCTTCCTCTTTTCTTTTCTTCCTTCCCCAAATATCTCCAATTAGTTTGCATCTTATAGTTAATCAGGGTTAAATGTCATTTCCATTATGAATTGATCTTAGAGTTGAAAGCAACTTCCCAAATTATTTAACTCAATCTCAGAGTAGTAATCTGAGGTACAGAGATGAGCCCCAAAAGATCACAGGATATATTTGTATTTGTGGTAGAAAAAAATGCCAGGGGTTTTGTTTTTTCTTGTGCTGAAGTCAGCTTGGAGGAAGCCAGGAGCTGAGAGTATTTTTTGCTACAGGCATTGAAGAGGAGAAATAAAGTCATGATTACGTTTGCAACATTTATTCAAAATATAACTATTGAACATTCTCTCACACAGCCAAATTGACCAAGGATTGTAAAGATATTTTATTACTGAAACATTTGCAAGGACAAGTTGATTCAAAGAGCTTACAGGTTTTCTCTCACCCACCCAAGAGAACGACATTCTCTTTGGCTTAGACAGCAACAAAATCAGTTGGGTGACTTCTGTCTGCTTCTTCAAAATGTTTCCTCCTGGGTCTATACTCTTTTAAACACCACTAAAGACATTTGGAAATGGAAACTAAAAGTAGACAATACAAATACCATTTTGTTGAAATTACTGCACATGAATACACTTTGTGCATGCTAATTAAGGAGTAGAGGTGCTTTTGCTGTACATACTCTACGTTTCGAGCTATATAAAAATAAACAAATGATATCAGACCAACGCTATGGTACAGAATGCTGTATATTTTTATTTTTGTGCTAAATGCAGAATCTTTTAGGGCAACAGCCAAACGCACCGTTTCATTTCCCAACAATCTCCATCAGTTTCCTGTTGCTGTGAGCTTGCTGCGCTAACTGTTCAGCCCTGGCCAGTTCCAAGACTTCTCGGAGGAGGTGGAAGGTGAGATCCAGCGAGATGGGAGCTTCCTCGGATCGCCTCTCCTTTTCTGGTGCCTCCAGGAGACCGTGGAGGACGCTCTCAGTGCCACGCCCCGCGGGGCTCGAAAGCCTGTCGAGCGGGTGCTGGCCCTGCGACTGCTGCTGCAGCAACACGCGAAGAAAGTTGTCAGCTACCTTGTCCTGCGAGAGGCGCCTACCACTGCCGCCCGCGACAGGCGTGGAGGCAGACCAGAGGGGAGCAGCGGTGCTCTTATTGGGGTTGCCCTGGCGGAGGAAGTATTCCTCCCGCATTCGGAGCTGGACCCGCCGGGACTGCGGCTGCTGGGGCTGCTGGAGCTGCTGGGGCTGCGGCGGCGGCTGGAAGAAATCCGTGTGTTGGGGGAGCTGCCGGGAGCCTTGGCCAGGCCCGCGGATGAGGAGGGCCCTGCATGGTGTGCAGGGCAGGAGTGCCACAAGCAGGACACCCACGGACACGAGCAGCGGCAGTCTCATGTTAGGGACGCTAGCTGCGACACAGATGTGGGCAGAGGGCGGAATAAGAGAAGAAAAGAGAAAGACTTGGTCAGAGTTTAGCTCAACAGGAGATGCACTTAGGGGAGGGGCAGGGGGTCTTCCTACTGGGCCCGGGTAGAAAGATCTCAGGGGCTGGGGCGGGTGCTGTCCGCGGTGTTGAAGCCCTCGAACCGGGACTTCCAGAGCGGGTGTGAAAGGGGAACAGGAAAAGGCACGCCTGCGGGGCTCAGAGCCAAAGCTCAGCCCCTCGCCCAGCTGGAGAGACCCTTCTCCTTCTAGACCCCTAAAGTCCCCTTTCTATCCCTGGGTCCCCTTCCTAACAGCGCCTGAAACTGATTTCTCGAGCTCTAGAGAGGATCTACAAATTCAAGACCTCAGCTGCTCTAAGCCCCGACCCCTTTCCGGATGTTTCAGCGTTTTCCTCCAAATTGAGAACTTCTGCCTGCTCCTCCTCCTTATCTACCCCTGCCCCAGCGTCCTTCTTTCGGGGATCAGGATGGATGGGTTGCTCGTCTACACAGCCAGCGAGGAGTAACTGGAAGTTCGGGTAACGATGAGTAGCCGTCTAAGTTTTCTTTTGTCACATCCCAGCTACTCTCGGGATCTTGAGGCACCGTCAGCAAACACACACACACACACACACACACACACACACACACACACACACACACACACACACACACACACACACACACACGCAAACACACGCCCGCCCGCCCGCCCGCCCGCTCGCACAGGGACCGCGGCCGCGGCTCCGGCGCGCAGGAGGCAGCCCAGGCTGCGTGAAGTTGGAGGCGCATTTCCGTCTAAGCGCTCCCTACCTTCTGAGGCGCTGCTGCAGAGGAATGTCTCCGCGGCTTTCAAGGGGGCTTTCTTTCCTTCTCCTGTTTCCACTCTGTTTTTCTGTACCTGTTCTCTTTCCCTTCAGTCTCTCAATGGACTTGGACTCTGAGTTTCTCCACACCAGAGCCTGGAGTGCGCTTTTATAGCGTCGACCCTCTTCAGAAATCACGCATTCGCCTAATAAGCTGACGTTCTCTTGACAGCTCGATTGCGTGCTGCCTCTGCTCCTGCATAAATCATAAGGCCCTGCCAGGGAACCAGGGGCAGAATTTTCTCTACTTCAACACTGAATCTCACATCCAATTATGTCAACACATATTTATCGCCTCCTTGGTGACGTCAAACAGCCCTAAAATGGAAGGACTTCTTTTGACTTGTCCATTGACAAAAATTCTTGAATGAGATTTCCCAAGTGTGAACACATATTGACCTCTTACTACGAAAAGCCATTTTGAGGATGAGAGAAAGAGACAGCGAATGGGAGGGGATAGGAAGGGAAAGTTCAAGGGGAGGGAGGTCTATCAATGCACAGTCCTGCAGGGAAAGCAACCAGTTATAGGAGCAGTTCTGGATCCTCTTCCCTTGCCCTCCTAACCTCTCTGACCCAAGTTGTCTTGGGCAATACCTCAGTATCTGAAAATATCCCTTTGCTACGAGACAAAGTGTCCCATCACCTTCCTGTCTGGATAAGAATGAGGAACTAGGAGCTGCTGCAGGGACACTCAGTTTTTAAGCCTCTAATTGCTTTTTCTTCCCAAGAACAGATAACAGAATTTTAACCCTGCAGAGCCAAGACCAATAGCCTCTTAAAAGGCAGCTCAGGTTTTTAAAATAATAGCAAGAGCTACTCCTGTGATGAAGGGGCACAAACCAGGTTCAGTCTGGGGCGCAGCAAAGATCTTAAGTTCTTCTAGGGCCTTATTGCTCCTTCTTTGTCTCTTCTATCAGAACCTGAAAGTAACTGTGGACTTTTCTATTCCCAAATTAGAGAAAGAAAGGACTAGTGAGAGGTGTATGAGTTAAATAATCTTTGTTTAGTTTACTAAGTACAAACCCAATGAGAAAACCATCTGTTAACTTCCTATTCCATCTTGGAAAAGGCTTAACCTGCTTTATAATGGAGCATGCTTACATTAATGGATTAAACCTGTTTAAAGGTAAACTACTCATTCATTGTACTTCCAAATACTATTAACATCTATAATAGTATCCATATCAGGGGCACCTGGGTTTTTTATTATTAATTATTTATTTTTACAAGTTCAAATATGCTCCATGGGAGGTTGATAAATAAATAAATACTCTCTGGCAGCACCACAGAATGGAATGCTTATCAAATGCACACTCACATTTTGAATTAAATTGATACTACCATATAGGTGGGAGGCAGTTACCTCTAATTCTGCAATTCAAAATGCAATGTCAGACTCTGGTATCTACAGTTCAGCTTCTAGATAACAATCAGAGATGTTTATCAGAAATTTCCTCATTCCTCATTTCTGGTACCTCTACCGCTTTCCTTGTTGCTAGCATGACAAATGATACAATGCATATTCCAACTCCACTTTGGGCTCTATACCAATCTACAACTGCTCTTAGAAATAAAAGGAAGGTAAAAAGAGAAATTCTGGCAGTTTCCAGAGAAGTCAGCCCATACTTGGATCATTGTGCTATAGAACGTCCTTTTGACATGAGAGAACAGAGAAAGAAATGCGTCTTTAGGGAAAGATGTGAGTCCTTAATAGAAGATCATGATTATGGAAAATGATTGAGATTTTAGAGGAAAGCTGTGTTTTATATTGTCAGGGAGCCTACAGAACCTTAATTTTTGTTTTTGTGGGCTTTTATCCCTTTTAAGTTGGAATGAATCTCAACTCTTTTGCTTAATTTCCTTTACAAACCCTTCTCTGTTCCCATTGGCAGATACCAGCCTGGATGTCACCAGCTTGGGTGGAAGTAAATTTGGAAGGCAAAGTTCAGGTAAATGAATGCAGAAGAAAAAAGAAAAGAGTAAATCCAGCACATTAGCTAGGGAGGCCTGGGAGGTTCCTCCAGAGAAGACACGTTTTGGGCCTATTGTATTGGGCCATATGGAGGATGTTGTTTTAGCAGAGCTCTCTCATCATTGTTGAATCCTTGCTGTGAGATTTTCCTAGAGTCGGTAGTTAGGGTCAGAGCGGCTCTGACTGAGTGAGGAACAAAAGGCCTATATCCCTGAAAAACAGGGACTGGGCAGAGTAGTCCCTCCCTACTGATAATGTATCCCAAAGTTAGATCTCATCAGATCACTGAATGTTCACCTTAGAAATGGCTTGAAGAGATCATTTGGTTTAAATGAGAACCAGAGAGGTTAGTGACTTACCTGAAGTCACTCAAGTAGTTATGGGAGGTTCTTTTGACCACCAGCTGTATTATTTTTATAATATAACAATGCCCTTTGAACTTCCTTTTCCATCAGAGATACATAAACAAACTGAAGTGAGAAGACAAATTTAGGTAATATGTTATATTCACACAGTAACCCTGAGCTACATTTTCTTAGATTTTCCTTATATTGACAAATTTTATCACATACACATCTCCTTAGCCATGAGAATGCAGAGATTCTCTGTGCATGCTGATGCCTGGGAACCAAATTTTAAGTTTCTGTGTGCACAAACTGCAATTTACCTTTAAGCTGAATCTTATAACAGGAAGTTTTTAAATGCATTGTCAACTTAAGATGCATTAATTTTGATAAAGTATAGAGTGATATAGTTCTCAAAATAATGATACAGATGTATGATTGGAAAAATAACATGATGCACAGGACTTACATGTGCAGTAAACTAAATACCTAAGTCTGTAAAAATCACCACTGACAGATTCTATCTCACATGAAGGAATAACTTTTTGAAAGGAGTCACTGGAGAACCAATTTAAATAAAACATAATATATTGTATAGTTAAAGTTAAAAAGACATGGCACAGCAGTCCATTGAATAAAGAAATATCCAAAACAATAGCCCTGCTGGGCTTATTCCTGTCATCTTCATATCCTTGCCCTTTTGAGGAGTATCCCAATGCATGCTTCTATTGGCAAAGTTTATTGCAAACAAAGACAGTCTCCAAGTCTGGTAACTGAAACAATTGTTAAAAGAAATCTACCATCTCCGATAACAGCCTTTAAAAATGCCTAGGGTGGACAGGTGGTTTGGTAACTTCTTGTAACTGTGCTTTAGATGGATTAATAACTAACTGCCTCCATATCCATAGGAAGGGCTAGAAAAAGGATCTCAAATAGCATAAATATCTGTTTCTCAGGTAACGTAACTTCTCTTCTGATTATCAAAGCTTTTCATCTTCCTTGTAAAAACTTGGAACACTAAGGAAGGTATAAAGAAGAATATAAAATTCCTCATATTCTAGAATCTAAAGACAATCTCAGTTAACATTTTGTTGTTTCCATTGAGAAATTTTCCTGAGTTTATACATTTTACTTAGTTGAGGTAAGACTGTGTTCCTAATTGTGAATCTCTTACTTAAAAATAAAAACAAACCAAAAAAACCCTCTTTTAGTTAAGAGAAAGTAATTGATTAAAGAAATCTTTTCCAGATTCCTAGGTTAGGCTTAGGACCTGTGTTTTTTGTTCATCTGACATCATGAATGTCCTCCATCACAAAGCTCACATTTTAAAATCATTACTGGTACAACATGCATCTTCATTGCTGAAGTATAAATTGTGTAATAGAGATTTGATTGTATTTATGAACTTCCATATTCATTACTCCAGCCCCTAGTAAGTATTAAAACATGGTAGATACCCAACAAGCCTTGAATAGGTAAACTATAGAAAATTTGTTGAATGAATAAAGTATAAACAACCATTCATAAGACTATTCATACATAAATAACTAGATATTTTGTAACTAAAACTTCATAACCTTCCTTTTTCACTTAAAATTATATTTCAAACATTTTCCTATATCTAAATGACATCTATTTTATTGACAGCATGGTATTCCATCAAAAAATGTATCACAATTTGTATTTATTCGTCATTATTGATCACCATTCTAATAACTTGCTTTTTAATTTTTCTTCAGTATCTTACCCTTACACCTTTAAATAATATTCCCACATAATCTCTTCCTGATCTTTCAAATATGA